GCAGCGTTGTGCGAGGTGAGGCTGCCGGGGAGGCCCAAAGCCCCGAGGTTGGCTCTCAGCCATCATTGCCAACTTTCTCACATTTCTGTTACTCTCTGTCTCAGCTGCATTTAACCAACTGCTCTTTATTTCTCCTGTTTTTTCTTACTCTTCTCCCCCCCACTCTGCTACCACAGCTTAAGGAAGCTGAACCCAAGGAGCCCCTGTCCCCGGAAACGACCCTTGCAGAGCAGTCAGAGCAGCCCCCAAAGGCTGCCGATGCAGAGCCCGCTGCCCAGCCTAGCTCTGCGGTCTCTGAAGTCGAGATCCCCAGTGTGGGGAGGATTCTGGTTAGATCTGATGCAGATGGCTATGATGAGGAGGTACAGAGATGAGTGCAGGCCTCCGCTGTGTGTGGTTGTTGTCAGTGACCGAGTATTGTCTATGGTGTCTGGCCATGGCTGATGTTTTCTCGTTGACGCACGTAATTGACAAGAAGCCCTCTGCTCCTGCCTGTGGTTACCGTGTTTATGAGACAGTCTTGCTCCTACTGCCTACCACTCCCAGTGTAGATAAACTCTACGTTTATGCTTACGGGGACCATTGTGCGGTTTCCTTGGCTCAGAAAGGTGGAACTTAGTTTCTTTTTTGGTATAGTACACACAAAAAAAATTATTCCTCTATTTTAAGTAAGGAATCTTTGCTTATGATGATGTTCGTCTGTTGTTTTTCCTTTGGATGTAAATCTTCGGTTATCTAGTGAGCACCACAAGTGTGGGTTAAAGTTGGTTTTTTGTTTGTTTCAGTTTTTTGCTAAGAGTGCATAATATGCTCACCAGAGAGAGAGACACACACAGAGATGGGGTGGGTGGGAAGTGAGAAATCACCCCCGGGGGGATGGCCACCCCTCAGTCCCTTCTCTTCCATTCCTCTTGGGGGTCTGGGCAGGCACATGTGCACACATACGCCAAGCCTGTTTTTCACGCCACCAGATCAGGACTTGAGCCACTCAAGTCAGCCATGTGGGATCCAGCCTTCTTAACCACCACATTGCCTGCTGGCTGGCCCATGAGTTATTTTTAATTCTAAAGTTTTAGGAAGACGCTATAGAATTTTAAATTATTCATTGTATATTTCATGTCCAAGGGCACTGCACATAAACAGTTATGAATTATGTCTCAGTTTTTTTATTTCTATGAGATATGTATGTTTTTAATTATTGAAAGATTGCCCTTCTAAATATTGTGTATCCCTTGGTTTCCAGACTGCTTTAAATATTCTATTCATCCTAGCAGAGCTCTAAAATATGTGTGTATTTAAAATAAATACTCAAAGTACAGAACTTAATTAAGTAACCGCAGACACTTCCCCTCTGAGAGCGGCAACTTCAGTCTTCAGCAGTGCCGCGATGGAGAAGTTTAAGACATGTCTTTCTCTCCTTGCTGAAAAAAGAGTTGCTTTTCTGGGGCCGGGCGTTGACATCATGTCAAGGGACAGAGGCTGTGAATGACACAGGGATCACGTGTGATGCGGGCCTTGCCTGGGTGCCGCCGAGGAGCCATGCTCAGCCTCCTTCGGCCTCTGTCCTTTCTGCTTTCATTCGGTCTCCTTTGAACCTTCTTCCTTCCTTTCTCTCTGTTTTGTGCCCCCTGGTGGTAGGTGATGCTGAGCCCTGCCATGCAAGGGGTCATCCTGGCCATAGCGAAAGCCCGCCAGACCTTTGACCGGGACGGGTCTGAAGCAGGGCTTATTAAGGTATCTGTTTTTGAAATTCTTTTTTTTTTTTTTTTTAATTATTTTATTTTGTTGTTATTATTTTTTAAGTTCGTTATAGGGCATGTACATTCACCAGAGTGAGACAATTGTTGGGGGGAGTGACAAAGCCAGCCACCAGGTCCAGGACTCTAACCACAGTCGGCCATGTGAGAGTCCAATATCTTCACCACCACATCACCTGCTGGCTCCTGTTTTTGAAATTCTAAGTCTTATGACACAGCTCTCATAATATTTGGGCAATAATTCTATAAGGTGGAGCAAAATGAGATTACAGTTGTCTTCCATTGAAGTAAAATGTAAAGGTCCCCTCCTGCCTGGCTCGTGCCAGAGCCATTCCCAGCACTATTCATGCCTCTTCTCTGGGCATGCTCCCACCTTGCTTAGCAGTGCTGTGTCACAGCCGGCCCGGAGGGCTTCCTGCTAGGAGGTGGCTGTCGATAGAGCTGTGAGTCAGATCGTGCGCGTGTCATCTAGGGCTGTGACATAAGAGAGTAGGCTGGGTTCTTCAGGTATTTGGCTAAAATTGAAGGTACCTGAATAAATTTACATTTGTATGGATTTTTAAATTTGGGTCACTAGGACTCCAGGATATGCCTGAACAATTAAAACTAAATATTTATTTTTCTGAGAACTTTGTGAGAAAGCTGAGTCCCTGTGAGCACTGTATGTGTGACCCCCGCATGCTGGAGGAGTTTCAGGCCTTAGGAAGTCCAAACAACTAGAAGATTCCATCGTTCCCTTTGCTGTCGATCAGTGAGAGGGGTTCCTTAGAAGGCGGCTTTGAGTCAGGAGACCTCTACCCCTTGGGCATCAGTTTCTGTGTGAAGAAGCCCACGGTGCACCCTTCTCTACCCTTCCGTTCTGTCTTCACTAGGCATTCCATGAAGAATACTCCAGACTCTATCAGCTGGCCAAGGAGACGCCCACCTCTCACAGCGACCCTCGGCTTCAGCACGTCCTTGTCTACTTTTTCCAAAATGAAGCACCAAAAAGGGTAGTAGAACGGACACTTCTGGAACAGTTCGCAGATAAAAATCTGAGCTACGACGAGAGGTAAGAAGGGAGTCCTCTGCTGCACTCCTCCCAGCCCCCGCGTCTGGCTCAGACTAGGAATTGCTCCACTGGGGAGTTTGCTCTGTACCCTTTGTCACCTTTTGAACTTCGTCCCACCCAGGTCAATCAGCATCATGAAGGTGGCCCAGGCCAAACTGAAGGAAATCGGTCCCGATGACATGAACATGGAAGAGTACAAGGTGAAGTCTTTTCTGTAAATCTACAAAGCAACAACAGTCATTCCTGAGGCAAACGGTACCTGAGACAAATCCACCACGTTTGTGTCATTACAGGCCTGGTAAAACCCGGCAAAGAGTGGGTGAAGGAGCTTTTTTTACCCTCAGAATAGCAGGTGTCTTTATTTCCATTCTTTTTTTTTTTTTTTTTGAGAGGTTTTTGCTATAGGGCACGTGCGCTCGCCAGACAGACAGAGAGAGAGAGACAGAAAGCGAGAAATCACCCCCCAGAGGGGATGGCCACGCCACAGTCCCCTCTCCTCCATTCTCCTCTTGGGATCTTGGGCACGCACGCACACGTGCCCGGCGTGAGTTTTAAGCCACCGGGTCCGGGACTCGAATCGCGGTCGACTACGTGGGAGTCCAGCGACATAGCCATTATGCTAACTGCAGGTCCCTTTATTTCTATTCTTATTTTCTAGAATGAATCCACAATTGATTTTCCTTAAATACCATTCCACTTCTTGTTTATTTCCATTTCTTGTTGCTTGAGCCTTGTCCTAAGTGATAAAATTCTTGCAATTGTGCTTTTCATTTGAAATGAGACAGTTTTCTAATACATACAATACGTATACAGCTACAGATGTTCACAAAAACCCATTGCGGTCTGCATGACGCGGGCTTAGGTTCCACCTCAGGTGTGCCGACCACACTTGCTAGGCTTGAGCAGATCCCGTTTGTCCCAGAGGGGCTGGATCTGCCCACGTTCCTTATGTTGGGATGATCTTGTCAGTACTTGAGAGATCACGCACTTAAGCCAGCACTGAGTGATTTTAACATGGGAGTTGGAAATTAAGATAAATTCTGAAGCTCATGTGAAATCAGTATTTCTGGTTTCTGTTTTATACTTGCTATAAGGTGCTTGCTCTCGCTGGAGAGAGAGACAGGGAGAGAAAAGGTGAGCAAGGGGGGTGGCCATGCCAAAATCCCTCCTCCTCCATTCTCTCAGAATTTTGGGCACACACGCATGCGCCCGGCATGTTTTTCAAGCCACTGGATCCAGAATTGGAACTATGCAGCTGGCCATGTGGGATCCTGCTACCCTAGCCTTCATGCCCCTGCCAGTGTACTGGTTCTGTTTCTTAGCGGAAGGATAAGAACATTGAAAATTAAGGTCATTCATAGACTTTTATTCTAAATTGAATAGGTTTTTATCTGCAAGCTTTTGTGGTGGTAACTTTTATGTCTAGCCAGGTATGCTCAATAAATATTTGGATCGAATTTTAAAACTTAACGGTAGTAGAAAGCAAGCAGTGGTTTTATTCAGGTCATAATCACTAATAATAGTCATTCCTTTGCAGAAATGGCATGAAGATTACAGCTTGTTCCGAAAGGTGTCTGTGTATCTCCTCACAGGCCTGGAACTCTACCAGAAAGGAAAGTATGTTGGCTCTCATTTCATGAGAGGGACTGGTCGGGTTGCTGTTGCTTCTTTTTTTTTTTTTTTTTTCTAAATGAGCAAGATTTTTGCTATAGGGCATGTGTGCTCCCTGGAAAGACAGGAAGCAAGAAATCACACCTGGATGGGATGGCCATGCCACAGTTCCTTCTTCTCTATTCTTCTCTTGGGATTTGGGGCACACACACACACACCCCCAGTGTGAGTTTTAAGCCACTGGGTCCGGAACTCAGACTGTAGCCAACTACATGGGAGTCCAGCGACATAAATGCTATACCGTCTGCCAGTCCCTCCGTGTTACTTCTTTTTTTTGAAGAATTATTTTATTTAACTTTATTCATTCATTCATTTTATTTATTTTAATTTCCCCAGAGAGGGACAGAGTGAGAGAGAAAGCTGCCAGGTCCGGGACTCAAACCACTTTTGGCCATGTGGAAATCCAGTGCCCCCAACCATCATGGCCGGACGTCACCTCCCTTGTCACACACACCTGTGGAGGCCCCTTTTTCCAGTGCTCCACATCAGTTTTGCTCTGAACGTCACACGTTTTTGCATCTTTCACGTGATGATAGATTTCTGAATAAAGACCTCAAACTTTCTTTGTGATAAATGGAGGTTGTTTTTTTATTTTTTATTTTTTTATTTATTTTTTTGTGTGTGAGGTTTTTGCTATAGGGTGCGTGCGCTCGCCAGACAGACATAGAGACATAGAGACAGAAAGCAAGAAATCACCCCCCCAGGGGGGATGATCACACCGCAATCCCTTCTCCTCCATTCTCCTCTCGGGATCTTGGGCATGCACGCACACGCACCCGGAGTGAGTTCTAAGCCACCGGGTCTGGGATGCGAACCGCGGTCGACTACATGGGAATCCAGCGACATAGCCATTACGCTAACTGCTGGTTCCCATAAATGGAGATTTTTGAGGTGACATGAGCATCTAGTCCACTTTTTTCAGAAACAGGAAAAACTGAGGTCCAGGAAAGTTTTATGATCTGCCATGGGTAGCTTGTAAAAGATATTGACGTGGTTTTTGGCTCTCAGGTTTTTCCCTGCTAGTATATCACACCAACCACATCAACTGTCTTTTCTTTTTTTTTTCGATTTATTTATATACATTTATTCAGTGTACATCATTACAGTATATGGAATGAGAATTTCCATCCAGAATACACTGCATGTTGGCTCAGTTAAGTGTTTTACCATACGTGTTAGCATCCACAAATAATTTTCCATTTCTTGTTTCTTATACATTTTCCTTCCCCCCCCTTTGATTCCCTACGTCTCACCCTCTGCCATGTCCCACTCTCCTCCTGCACTGCCTCTGGTTTCTACAGTTGCTTTTCATGCCCTTTTTTTTTTTTTTTTTTTTCGCATTTTATTAATTCACACCAACTATCTTAAAGACTTTTCCAGAAGGTAGCCTTGGGGATTTTTGTGTTGGGGAACAGTGAGGTCTCAGCCTAGATTTTTTTTTGGCGAAAGAATACTGAGTGATTGTCTTTCGTTTTGTAAGGTACCAAGAGGCCCTGTCCTACCTGGTGTATGCCTACCAGAGCAATGCCCCCCTGCTGGTGAAGGGGCCCCGCCGCGGGGTGAAGGAGTCAGTGATTGCTCTGTACCGACGGAAATGCCTTCTGGTTTGTACTGTCTGTAAAGCCTGAAGATTTCGTGTGTGTGTGTGTGTGTGTATCTGTGTCTATGTCTCCTCCTTTGAAGCCATGAGGGGGTAATGTAAACAAGATCATTCATTGTCTCTAACAGGCTTTAGGTTTTTTTTTTTCTGAACTCTCACGGATGGCTTTACATTGAGATAGGTTCTTTTCCGTTACTTGAAGTGAATATCCTTCTTCAACTCCTGATAAAAAAGTTAGGAAGAAAGCAAGCATCCGTCTGTCTGTGCCCCTCATGTAGGCCTGCACTGCAGCTTCTGTCTCGTGGCTTGACTAGGTTGTGAGTTTCTCGAGCACAGGTTATTTTCTTACTCAGCTGTTTGCTCTGTGCCTGACAGGGAGTTAGCACGTACAAAGTGGGCAGGTGCCACTGAGTAAGTGAAAGTTCTAATGACTCCTGAAAGGCATTAGCCGCTTTTAGAAAGGTAGAACCTTAAGCCTCGGTGGCCTGCTCCCCTGGTAGCGTCTTTGTCATACACGAGTGAAGACTAGACTCTCCCGCCCTGTCGTGCATTTTGCAGACCCACGTCCCCTCTGCTCACCCAGTGTTTATACCAGGCTTGTCCTTCAGAGAAGGCTTCAGGTGGGACACGTGGGTTTGTTTTCCCTGCACCTGGCAGATTTGCCCTTCACAGAAGTTAGGCCAACATTTCTGCTGCTGCCTTGGTCTTCTCAACACCCAACGGAGGAGGTTAAGTCATGACACACATTCGTCTCAAGTCCTTCATTTTCTGGGCCGGCCGTGTGGGAAGCTGGACCCCACATGGCTGACCACAGTTGGAGTCCCAACCCTGCCAACGTGGAAAACACGCTGTGTGCCTTTGTGCCCCACGTCCTGACGGAAGGGAGGAATAGAGAGGAACGGCAGTGTCACCGTGCCCCTTGGGGGTGCTTTCACCCTCTCTCTGTCTCTGGCAAAAACAAGAAAACTTCATTTTCTAGTTTATACTTTGAATTTGCTCTCTGTTATAGGTGTGGCAGAACTCCTTTGAAGCTGAAAAGGAAGACTCGTAGATTTGATGGATTTGAACTTTTTCTTTCTTTCTTTATTTTTAGGTTTTGGCTATAGAGTGCATGTGCTCACCAGAAGGAGACAGAGAGAAAGAGAGAGAGAAATCACCCCTCGGGGGAATGACCATGCCACAGCCCCTTCTCTATCCTCTGGGCATGCAAGTGGACACACCCAGCATGATTTTCAAGCTATTGAGTCTGGGACTTGAACCAGTCAGCCATGTGGGAATCCAGTGCCTTAACCACTACACCACCTGCTGGCTTGGATTCGAACCTTTTTAAAAAATTTGGTAGAGGGCACATGCACTTGCCAGACAGATGGAGAGGGAGAGGGAGGAAGCATCCCCACGGTAGGGCGTGGTCATACCACAATGCCTTCCTTTCTCTTCCATTTTTCTGTCCTGTTGGGATTTGGGACATGCATGCACACACACCTAGTCATGTTTAAAGCTGCCAGGGCCAGGATTCAAACTGCAGAGTTGGCTCTGTGAGATCTGCCTCCTTTAACCACAAGACCAGAGCCATCTTGATAGATCTGAATGTTACTAATGCCACACTTTAATATTTTAAATCACCAACTAATGATCAGAATTTTGAAAGACCTACTCGGCTTCTCCAGTAACACGGTAACAGGGACTTAGACTCGTCCCACCTCTGGCTCTCTGCCCTCAGGTGCATCAGCTTCAGAATAGTAGCGATGCCCAAGCTCCTCCCCAGGTGGCTGAACCAGAATCTCCGGGGAGGGGCCTGGGCAGCAGCTGTCTTCTGTAGGTCATCTTGATACTCAGTGGAGATTGAGAACTGTCCAACGATAGAAGCAATAAATACTTCCACCAAAGACCTTGTGGTTATTAAGCATGACCTTGACTTGTAGGCCAGTGGTCCCAGACATTGCTGTATTAGAATCACTTTGGGAGCTATTATAAAATCCCAGGACCCAGGTCACCCTTGTTCCGATTGACTCAGTGATTCTGGGGTTGGAAACAGACCCCAGTAGTTTGTAAAGATCCCCAGATGATTCCAGTGTGCAGTAAAGTTTGGGAATCGCTTTGACTCTTATTAAATAGATACTTATCTTTTTCAGACTTTTCCCCCCACTCTGCCTTTTGTCTGTAGGAGCTGAATGCCAAAGCGGCGTCTCTCTTTGAGACGAACGACGACCACTCTGTAACAGAGGGCATTAACGTGATGAATGAGTTGATCATTCCATGCATTCACCTTATTATTGATAATGACATCTCCAAGGATGACCTGGATGCCATCGAAGTCATGAGAAACCACTGGTGCTCCTACCTGGGGCAAGATATCGCAGAAAACCTGCAGCTGTGCTTAGGGGAGTTTCTACCCAGGCTTCTTGATCCTTCTGCAGAAATTATCGTCTTGAAGGAGCCTCCAACCATCCGACCCAATTCTCCCTATGACCTTTGTAGCCGGTTTGCAGCTGTCATGGAGTCAATCCAAGGAGTTTCTACTGTGACCGTGAAATAAGCCCCCACCTAGTCAAGGCCCACCCTGGTCTCTGCTGACCCGCCTGTGCAGAGGCCGGTGTTGCACGTTCCCGTTTACACTATCTCTGCTATAAACAGTTGTCTTCCAGAGGGTGACCAGCACTTCTGATCGTTCCTACAGCTTGGTGAGTTCTAAAAACCACAGTGGCCTAGCTCTGCAGTACTGGTTGTCAGACCTTCTAAGGGACTGGACAGCCGCTGCCCCCCGCCCCCCAGCGTATAAGTGAGTTACAAGTAGAGCCTGAGGGGAGCTCCCCGGCCTCTGCCCCTCTGAGCCACCCCTTGCCTTTGCTGTGGCTGCCGAGTCACCTCCCCAGCTCTGCTCTTCAGGAACATCAGACTTCGTTACTCTCTCATCTGCCAAAGGTTGCACACTTTTCCAGTTTACAAATCAAAATCCAGGGCCAGCCAGTGGCATGGTGATTAAGGCAGCTGCATCCCACATGGCTAACAGCATGGTTCAAGTCCCAGACCTGGCAACTTGAAAAACACCCCAGGTGCTTGTCTGTGCATGCCCAAAATTCTAAAAAGAGAGAGATGGAAGAGAAAGTATTGCCGTGTAACCATCCCTCCTGGGAGATGCTTTCTTACTTTCTGTGTCTCTGTGTCTCTCTGGTGAGTGCATGCACTCTCTGGCAATTTTTATTTTATTTCATTGTTTTGAGAGATTTTTGCTGTGAGCATGTGTGCTCACTGGAGAGAAGAGACAGAGAGGCAGAAATTGGGAAATCACCCCCTAGAGAGGATGGCTACACTATGGTCCCTTCTTCATTGTCCTCTCGGGATCCTGGGCACATATACACACATGCTCAGAGTGAGTTTCAAGCCACCAGGTCTGGGACTAGAACCTTGGTCAACCACATGGAAGTCCAGCATCCCAACCACTATGCCAATTGCTAGCCCTTCTCTGGCAAATTTTTTAAAAAATCAAAATCTATACAAGCATGGTCATCTATGGTGCCTTAGCTAAACTTTCTTTTGGCTTGAAGTTGCAAGACATAAACACACTATTAACTTTAGTGACCTCAAGATTAATAAATTAGTACATAGACTATCCTTACTTGTCCAAAGCATGTTGAAGACAGGGCCTAAAACTACTTAAGGAATTCTTTAGGTGAGTTTGGTAGACTTGGAAAGTTGATATATATTCTGATGTGAACCCTCTTTGCTAGTTTCTTACTGATGGAAGGTATATCCATTTGTTCAAGTGTTCAAGTTTATAGTATTTATTGAAAAATTATAATAGCTAGTTGGTATGCATTTCCTTTAAATGTCTTCAGTTTTTATCTATACTGTGTGGAATACACAGCCTTACTTAATGCCATGTATACACACCTGTTTTTGTTTTCTTTTTAAAGAATTATTTTATTTAACTTCATTTTATTTTACTTTTGGCCAGAGCGTTGGGGAGAGAGAAAATTGCCAGGTCCAGGACTCAAACCACAGTCAGCCACGTGGGAGTCGAACACCCTTAACCACCGCACCACCTGTTGCCCCCACCCCCAGTATATTTTAATCATTTGAAAGAAGGTAGCTCCCTTATGTTTATGGTACAGAGTATCAGACTCACTTTCTGAAAAGGGGGAAGACCTGTTCGTAAGGAAGTGATAATAGAATGTTGTTCAGCCATCATCAGATGGCTTAACGCAGTGACCTAAAACTCTGGGATGCTTGGCAAGATCTTTACTCTTTGTTTGCCTGAAAAAGTCTCCATGTGTCCTTTGCTGACCAGCGCGGCGCTGTCACCTTGAGGACGGGCAGCATGCCTTCGGAGGCCTTTCTATACAGTAGCAGGTGTACCTGTTCCCAGAGCCCTATTCAGCTGTAATTGTGACCGTCCGTTTTCCCTCCACAGAAAACCTGCAGCTGTGCTTAGGGGAGTTTCTACCCAGGCTTCTTGATCCTTCTGCAGAAATTATCGTCTTGAAGGAGCCTCCAACCATCCGACCCAATTCTCCCTATGACCTTTGTAGCCGGTTTGCAGCTGTCATGGAGTCAATCCAAGGAGTTTCTACTGTGACCGTGAAATAAGCCCCCACCTAGTCAAGGCCCACCCTGGTCTCTGCTGACCCGCCTGTGCAGAGGCCGGTGTTGCACGTTCACCTCTGGAAAGCGAAGTGCACAAGTCAGATCCAGACCCCCCCTGTGCTGCGTGTGTAAAGGATTGCAAATAAAATTGCACTTCCGGGGCACAGAAGCATACACGCCGATTCACTGGAGGATGCAGGCACCGTCGTGTTACGGCACTGAGTTGTCAAGTCCTGGGTTGCTCTGAACCCAGAAATGTCGGACTTGTCTAAGTCTCGTACCGCGTTTTAATCATCTTTCAGGCATAAATGTTTTCGACAGCAGAATAGAGGAGTGACTCGCTAGGACCCGAGTCCAATGAACAGCTCCTAGTTGCTTTGTCTAATAGAGATGTCATTTAAACATTTTCAACTATGAGAGATGAGAAATGTAAACCTTGCTGGTTCTTGACAGAGATGAAAAAATGGGTAGAATATAAGGTCTCATGGCAGAAAGATGCTGGGGAAGGGGACCAGCAGTTAGCGTAATGGCTATGTCGCTGGACTCCCACGTGGTCGACCGCAGTTTGAGTCCTGGACCCGGTGGCAAAAAAGCTGCCTCTTCTTTCTTCTTTTACTCTCTTTTATATTTTTAAAGAAACCAGAAAACCTCACACTCAGTCCTGAGTGGAAGAAAGGAAAGCAGTAAGGAATTTAGACAGAATAGTATCATGAAACTTGACTAAAGATAGTGTTTTAATAATTAACCATGTAGTTACATTTTCTAGTTTCTGTAAATTGTCAGAAACAGGTGTCTAAAGCTACTACTGGCTCAAAAGAACGTTTTGATACCCCTCTCCGTTTTGTTTTTTTTTTTTGCTTTTAAGAAAATAAAGAGATGTGGATTTGTAAAAAAAATCTATATATGTATATGTAAAGAACGTTTTTATACCCCTCTCCGTTTTTTTTTTTTTTTTGCTTTTAAGAAAATAAAGAGATGTGGATTTGTAAAAAAAATCTATATATGTATATGTAGAGAGAAAAATATCCCCTTTTGATCATTTTTAAAAGGTTCCTGTTTGGGTATCGTGTTTTAACCAGATTTTAAAGATTAATGGAGGAATCGTGGGAGGGAGGAATACTTGATACACTATGCAGATTTTATAAATGTGCAATAAAAGTATTTGACCTTTGCTGTGCAGTATGGCTTTTAAATATGTATTTTTAATTTTGGAAGTGGATGAAATTTGTAAGTATTTGTCTCATCAGTTTCTCTTTAAAGAAAAGGCAGATTAGGGACCAGCAGTTGACATAATGGCCATGTCGCTGGACTCCCACGTAGTTGACCATGGTTCGCGTCCTGGACCCGGTGGCTTAAAACTCATGCCCGGTGTGTGTGCGTGCATGCCCAAGATCCTGAGAAGAGAATGGAGGAGAAGGGATTGCGGTGTGGCCATCCCCCCGGGGGGGGATTTCTTTCTGTCTCTGTCTCTCTGTCTGGCAGGCGCATGCGCCCTATAGCAAAAACCTCAAAACAAAACAAACAAACAAAAAAACTTGTATTTCTCTCTGAAGAAAAAAAACTTAAAAAGAGGGACCAGCAGGTGCTGGACTCCCATATGACTGACCACAGTTTGAGTCCTGGTCCTGGTGGCTAGCTTTCTCACTATCCTTCTTTCTTTCTCTGCCTCTTTCTGGTGAATGCATGTGCACTATAGCAAACAAAATAATAAGTACAATAAATACTTTTTTATAAAAAAGGAAGAGAGAGAGGGGCCAGCAGGTGGCAAAGTGGTTGTGGCGCTGGACTACCACGTGACTATGGTTAGAGTCCTGCACCCAGTGGTTTAAACTTATGCCAGACACGTGTGTGCGTGCCCAAGATCACAAGAGGAGCATGAAGGAGAAGGGACTGCAGCATGGCCATTTCCCCGGGGGTTGATTTCTCACTTTGTCTCTGTCTCTGTGTCTCTGGTGACCACACATGAGACAAAAATTATAACAAAAATTGCTCTTAAAAAAAAAAAAAAAAGAAAGGCCAGTTCTGATTGCAACAGTAATCTGTTGCTCAGGAGAAGCCAGATCTCACATGGTGACCACAGTTGGAATACCCAGCATGGTCAGCTGAAACACTAGGCACGCACGGGTGCCCATGGTCTGATGGGCTGGCGGAAGGAGATCACGACGTGACCAGACCTTGTGGAGGGTGATTTTCTTTGTGTCTTTGTCGCTCTGTGCACACATATCCTATCTTAATAGCAGGGGAAGACCACAGGCCGAAAGATTTAAAATAACACCCATCAAGAGCCCAGCAGGTGGCATAGTGATTAAGGTGCTGATTTCCCTGTGGTCAACTGTGGTTCAAGCCTTGGACTTGGCAGCTTGAAACACGCCAGGCACATGTGTGTGCATGATCAAAATCTCAAGAGAATGGAGAAGGGATTGTGGTATGGCCATCCCCCTGACGGGGGTTTTTCTCTCTCTGTCTCTGCCTCTCCAGTGAGTGCACACCCTATAGCAAAAACTTATAAATAGATAATATATACCCATCTCATTGCAAATATTTGCTTTGTGGGAAGTTGATCAATTTTCTTACCTATCGATTACATTTTCCTGTTTGAGATTCAGTGTACTATCATCTGCCTTTCCCTTTTAAATCTCAGCGCTTCCGTGACATTGTTTCACTTACTATATTAACCCTAAGATAATGATGAGGGCTATGATTTGTCCAAGGTCATAGATCTCCGAGTAGGTGAATCAGGACACTAACCCAGTGTCCTTGGTGTGTCTGACTTCTCAGCCCGTGCTTTTAACAACTGCTCAGCTGTCCTTGGTAGCTTTGTATGTTCTCCACAGTAGTTACTTCCTGGTCGGATCTTTGTATGTTCTCCACAGTAGTTACTTCCTGGTCGGATCTTTGTATGTTCTCCACAGTAGTTACTTCCTGGTCGGATCTTTGTATGTTCTCCACAGTAGTTACTTCCTGGTCGGATGTTGGGAGTCCACCTGGTTG